CCCCTGCCACTTCACTTCAACCTTATATAACTTGTAGGCTTCTGTATGCATGAGCTCTCTGTATGTCCCCTTCTGATCTCGTATATTAGCTGCTATCTAGTTATGTTCTACTCAACTAAAATTACCACTCAAAATCCTCGTCTGGTTTTTCTCAGTGTTAAGGAGAAAATCAACTCTGAAGAGCCATAGGAGACCAGGGCTATTTTGGGGCAGGAATACACCAGTCAGTGGCGTTGGGAAGGAGTCTGATTGTGTGTCTTTCTAATAGTTAGAGTTTCCTGGCCTAGCTGCACAGTTCTAATAAGTGAGAGAAAAATAATGTTTATGTTTCTTTCTACTGTTTATGAACTCCTTCATATTTTGTATTTGGCCACAGATATCCAAATAAAATATTATGTACTTAATAAGACAGTTTTGTATTGCACATGTGCCAGAAAAGCCACTTTCCCCTTTAAAATATGCATACATCTAAATCAAGAAGATTATTTTAAAGAGAAAAGTGGCAGTTTCCATAAGTATGCACACTTCTAAGCCAGTCCGCTTATCTGTTCCTAGGTGCAAAAAATAACACAAGTGTCCCCTCTTCCCCTGAATGCTGGAAGATTCTCATCTAGACCCATTTCAATCTGGATTCAGGCCCGGACTCTCTTGAGAGATGATCTTCATTAGCAGAGTGAATGCAGAGTGAGTCCCTGTTGATTGTCCTTGGTGTTCGCTTCTATTGACCATGGTATTTTTCTGGAGAGACTGGTTAAGATGCGAATGGTGCAGGCCCATAACCAGGAATTTCTAACTTGGTGGGGGGCATTTTAATTCTTCAGGGGGCACTGGGGCACAGGCCAGCCCATGACACCTAGTTTTGAAGAGAAGTACCTGCCTTCTTCCTACTGAGCCCTGGTTGCTACTGGGGGTGGGGGGGATGAAGAGAGATGCTGGGCAGAGATTTTCAAATTTCCCACAAGCTGCTGCTCCGCCCTCGCACTTCCCTTTGACCCGATTACATTAGTCAATTTCCCACTACTTGCTGTGCGGCCGCATTTTGCCCCACAGCTTCACCCGATTTCCCCCGCGTTTACTCGATCCTGTTTCAAAACCTCTGCCTGTGTGGCTACAGAGGGAAGGCCTGGAGAGTGACCCCCCCGGTGACTCCAAGGCAGGTGGGCTGGGGGGGGCCTGGAAGGATCAGGGAGGCATTTAAATGCCTCCCCGTGCCTTCCCCATCCTGTCTAAGGGCCAGCTTGCCCAGGCTCCCCACAGCTGCGTGGCGCCCGGGCAAGCCAAGGGAAGGCAGTTTAAATTGCCTTCCCTTCTCTTCCCTTCAAGGGGGGGGGCTTGACCGGGCTCCCCAAAGCCACAGGGTGCCTGGGCAAGACAAGGGAAGGCAGTTAAAACTGCCTCCCCTACCCTCCAAGGGCCAGTTTACCCGGGCTCCCCGCAGCCACGGGGCACCCGGGCTAGCCAAGGGAATGCAGTTTAGTTTAAACTGCCTCCCCTCCCCTCCAAGGGCCAGTTTACCCGGGCTCCCCACAGCCACGGGGCACCCGGGCTAGCCAAGGGAATGCAGTTTAAACTGCCTTCCCTTCAAGGGGGGGCCTTGCCCAGGCAAGCCAAGGGAAGGCATGGGTGTGTGACATAATATGTTAATGAGCTGTTGTCAGGATGTGTCCTAATATGCTAATGAGTTTCTGCTGTTGGGTGTGGCCTATTATGCTAATGAGTTCCTGCTGGGCTTTTTCTACAAAAAAAGCCCTGACATCAGGTATCATCAGTTCCATTCCCCTCTCAACCCCCAACCAGCCTCTAGCCTTTAGTGCCTTTAGAGGCAACAATCAATCCATTTCTCTGAGTCCTGATGGTATACCAGAGAATCTCTACAATATGCAATACGAGAAGTGGAAGTCTCATTCTCTGTAGCCACTTTAGGACTGTTTCTCCTAGACTCTATGGTATACCATAAAGTCCATCCTACCAAGCTACCATTCCTCTGTAATTTGGAGATCAGAAATCATTTGGGGTGAATTCCAAGCTTCACTCTGAAACTCGTAACCCTACCACAAACTGGTATTTTTAAAAAACACACCAACCCAGCCTTTAGAAAGTTTAAAGTCCATGTGAGATCTTGCACCATGTTCACTAAAGAAAACAAACCCTCTGGTATCTTATAGCCATAATTTTAAATTGTTCAAGGGGGAGCATTTTCTCCTATTCTTCTTCATAGTTTCTCCAACAACAACAACAACAACATTCAAATAAAACATTTGAAAATTGCACAAGAGCAATTTTCTCTAGACCGAGAATACCAAGACCTGAAAAAGAAAACAAAATTCTTTTTTTCTTCTTCTTGTCAACACTCTTGCCTGCCAGGGGTCGGTTTTCAGATTCCTAATCAGCTCTCACTCAGGATAAGAAGACCAGTGCAAAAGTTTTCATTTATTGTTTGGGAGTGGCTAAGCCCACCAAAGAACTCTTGAGGGGTAAGCAAGCTCTCCCCAGAAAGTGCCTGTGTTTGCAGGGTAAGAAGAGTAAGTGTTACATTCACTAATCTTTGGTGTTGACAGAGAGAAGACTAGGAGCAGATGCTTTTCAAAAGGTTATTGTCCTCTTTACACCATACCAAGACTTAGCAAGTTATTTTTATATTGTTTTAAAATTGCCTGCTATTACCAATCCAACAAATAACTTGCCTAAAGGAATTTTTCCCCAGAGTCACAAATCACTAGAAGAAGAAGAGTTATGTTTGGGGGAAATGCTTGGAAATTACAGTGGTTGTTAAACAAACTCTATGAACCAGCACTGTGACTCTACTAATTCAGGCTTGGCAAATTTGCAATATGGGCCATGGTTATATGCTTTCACATTTAAGCTTTCCATTTATGTTACATGACATTTAATATCTTTATCATGTGTACGGTAAATTCATGTTGCAGTAGTATGGCAGCCCAAGCAGGCATACTAATAGTGTGCTAACTTTTCAACCACATATGTCAGCATGTATGTGCATTTAAATGTCATTGGACATGTGTGGAAGGCTTAGATGTGGCCCACATGTTATATAAACCAGTGCACATCAGCATGGCCAGCAAGTTCCAGCATGGCATTCTGTACCTACTTACTTCTTCAGACTTGGGTCTTGAAACAAAACTGGAAAATAAAAACTCTAGGGATCCTAATGTTTAGCAAAGTGCTGAACTCCTCCTGGGCAGGTGCATCATAGCTGTCCATCCTTGGCTTGGTCATAGATTCAATTTTCTTCTCTGTTTGGGTTTGGCATCCTAAGTCTGTGAACCTGTTCTTTTAAAATGAAACAAAACAGCTTCTCTTTCCCAAAGCAAAGAGCAGATCCTGCCCTCCTGGCGATCATTTTGTGATTGCCTTCCCCCAAGATCATAATTTGGTGTCGAACCTTCTACCCTGTTTCAGAATTTCAAAAAGGCCCAAAGGATGAACAAAATTGGGGACCCTTGTTTTGAGGCCTGGGAAAATTGGCTGCAATAGTGCTATTTCTTATTCAGTCTTTGAAGTTAGGGTTGCTGACCTTCAGATGGAGGCTGTGGATCTCCTGGGATTACAAAATGATCTCCAGGCAACAGAGATCAGTTCACCTGGAGAAAATGGCCATTTTGGAAGGTGGCCTCTATGGCATGATACCCCACTGAAGTCCCTCCTCAAATCCCACCCTCCTCCCGCTCCACCCCCCAAATCTTCAGGTATTTCCCAACCCAGAGCTGGTAATCCTATTTGAAGTCCATGTTGCTTTTATGATTATATTGTCAGTTGCTGTCTTAAAAGAAAGTTGCCAAGTCCCTGGTTGACATGGGGATTCCCTACCCCGAGTTCCCATTCCCTACTGCTGCTTTGGAGCAGACAACCAGTGTTGTCTGTGTGATGATGTCACCTCCAGGGAATACCTGGAAGCAATGGCTGTAGGTCTAGAAATTGTTGAAAGCTCCATGGTAAGTTTCCAGCTGTTTCTAGAGTTACCACCATCCCTTCTGGTATTCCCTGGAAGTGTCTTTGAGCAGGCAACATCCCCCCCCATGTGCTCCCCACCTTCCCACCAGTTGCCAGGCTCGACCTGGCAGCCTTAGTCTTAAACAACCAAAAAAGTCAGCATTTGCAGCCACAATACTGCCGTATCTCAACTAGGATACCATAGTGCTTTTTCTAGTCTGAGAAAACATTGGGTGGCCCAAAAACAGTGCTGCTAGTTCAAGGAGTGGCTGCTAAGTAAGGGAATGATTCTTAACTGCATCTCTCATTTATATTCAGGAAATGTTTCTTTAAAATGATTGTTTATTTTCCCCCACATCTCATGCAAACACAAGGTAAGTGAAACAAGACATTTCAATATCTTTCCCATACTAAAAATCCAAAAGAACGTTTAGGCCTTCTATAGTATCTCAGCATTCTCACTGTGTCAACACTACTTTAGGCACCTGTATTGCATAAAACTCGTCATTCAATAACAGTTAATAAAATAAGATCTTTTCCATAGTTAATTAGGAAATGTTCTAAGCACTTCACCCCCAACCACATAAAAACTTAGACACATGCTTAATTCTACATGCCAGGAGTACCTCAGTTGGTTAAGAAACTTTCCAACTGATATGAAGGGCCCACTATTGGTTTTTTAACCCCCCTCCATTTTCACACATTTCAAAACACCAAATACTGACTGTTTCTTTTACTGTACATGTGTATCTAGCTGCAAGAATATTCATTTTCTCTGTTTGACATAAGTTAACATTCCATTTAAATATAGGTCTTGTAGTATAAAACATTAGAGCGCCGTTAAATCATGAAGACAGTTGCACCTCACGTCAACATAACTTGCTATATTGAAAGACCCATTCTGACACTCCAGGTATAAAAGGCCAGTGAAAATGTTTTTGATCACAGTGAGACATAGAAAGACCACAAAATAGAATCTGAAAATTCCCTATGATATTAAAGGAAGAAAGTAGTGCTGTCATAAATATTAGAACTGCATATGTCCTTACCCTTCAGTCCGGAATATGGTCTTGAAACTGTCTCCCAAGCTCTTGTAACTATTTGAATCTGTTTTTCCTCGTTGAATTTGGAACCTATAAAAATAGTTTATGATTAATCAAAAGCAAAACAAGTACTTTAAAAGGTTTCACTGGCCCCAATTTATAGCCTCTACTTACAATTTTATTCTCGTATGATTATTCAGACTCTTTATAGTACCGTTTAAATTTTGAAAGATTTTTGCATGAACCATTATTCCAGTGTGCAGACAGAGGAACTAAAGTACAGAGAGGTTTGCCCACAGATACACTATCAGTTCATGGAAGAGGGGGAACCTCAAAATTCCCCAAGTAAAAACAATATAATCAGATAATTAAAGACATGAAAATTACCAATATTAAGACAAGCTACTACAAACAGAATGCTGCAGCCAGGCTGTTGATGGATCTCCCTAGACGAGATCACATCCAGCCTGTGCTGAAAGCGCTGCACTGGTTGCCAATAGCTTACCGGGTTCGCTTCAAAGTGCTGGTTATTACCTTTAAAGCCCTATATGGTCAGGGACCAGTCTACCTAAGGGACCGCCTTGCCCCGCATGTTCCCCCAAGGGCACTATGGTCGGGGACCCAACATCTGCTGGATGTTCCAGGTCCCCGGTCCATCAGATTAACCATGACCAGGAATAGGGCGTTTTCGGTGGCGGCTCCTATCTGGTGGAATGAGCTCCCAGAGGAGATCAGGGCTCTGCGGGACCTAGCACAGTTCCGCAGGGCCTGCAAGACGGAGCTCTTCCGCCAGGCTTTTGAATAGGAGCCGCCACCACCACCACTAATGCACAACCAACGCATGAGTTTACCATCCACGCCCTATATATGGACATCATGATGTGGGCCATGTATCATCAATGCCCCGCAACCGCTGCATCATGGGCGAGAACGGGACATCTAGGGGGCGGCCATCCTTTTTTAGAAATTGTAAATTGGAATTTAACTGAGAGGAGCACTAATATTGTTTTAATGTTGATGTATTTTAAAAATTTTGTACTGTTTTCTATTTTATTGGCGATATGCCCTGTTAGCCACCCTGAGCCTCCGGGGAGGGCGGGATAAAAATGTGAATAATAAATAAATAAATAAATATAAACAAGTCATTAAAGTGGCTTCTATTTTCAAATAACCCATTTAGCTAAATCAACCTATAGCTGAAATTTATTTTCCACTTTCTTCAGCTTGCATCATTCTTCAGTTTGCCTTTTATGACATGTTATAAAAGCACATCATGCAAAATACAGTTCTTATAGGGACACTCTGAAAATGCTTCCAATTTTTTGAAGGATAAAAATGCAATGATTTAAGAGTGTAAGGAAGTTGGGATTGGACAAAGATGGTCTGTGCAACAAACTTGTAATTGACTTGCTGCCACAAACTGGAAAAAAACAACAGCAAAAAGATATGAAGTTCTAAATTCATATCTCCTTTTATCCCATCCACAAATCTGATCTTACTAGGCTATGCAATTTTTTAAAAATTTCAAACACTTTGTATTCTTTCATTATATTTTTATTACTCATGTCTGCTCTCATGATTGTGCTCATTTTCATTTCCCCTGGTTTCAACAGAAACCAAAACTGAGCACCACTTCTTCAGTCTCTCCACTGCCTTGGGGCTGCTCTCGCTCGGCTGCTGAATGAGCTGTTGACTCGCTCTGCCAACTTGGCAACCACTTGGCAACAAACAATATAAAAGAGGTTACCTTAGACAGAAGATGACAGAAACTCTAGTTATGCCAGAATTGCTTTTATTAGGACTATATAACGCTATTACAAGGTAACAGGACACCATTTGTGTGGCATTTTGGAATACAATGGATCCTGAAATATAGATATGTGATATATAAATATGTTACAAGCATCTGCAATATACACAGTTAAAACAAAGAATGTTGAATGGTTCAACCATATTGGAACAGTGTACTACAAAATTGTTTTGAATCAATTTTGCATCTGTTGACATAATTTTAATTATTGCTTAGTTAGTTAGATAAGGGAATGGTCTTGTAAACCATACTGTTGCAGCACAATCACTGGCATTCTAAAATATGGACTACAGACCTGAAATTGGGCATATCAGACTAGGGTTTTAATGAACTGTATGGAAAAACTGACAGATTTTTAATGAATTACCCCATATTTTAAACTGTTTATACCTCATCTTTTCCTATCTCTATAATGAAAGCAAGTTTTGAAGAGGTTTGTGTTTTAATTTGAGATTTGCTCCACCTTCAGTTAAGCACTTCAGTCCATAGATTTCAAAAGGCAGACTGTATTGAAAATGACAGGATTTAAAGATGTATCGTTTTTGCTGGATGGCACTCATTGTTTCTTAAATACTCCTTTAGTGTGACCATTTTCTGAATTCTGAGAGATAAATTTCCTGTGATGTAATAAAAAAGAGGGCAATTACAAAAGAAGCCCATACCTCTTTTGAATAAACTTGTGTTGTACTTCTATAGTCCCAATAAAAGTAGTTCTGGCACATCTGGAATTTCAGTCTAGGGTAACCTCTTTTATTAGTGAAAAAACTTGTTGCCAAGTTGGCAGAGCAGCAAACACTCCTCAACAGCTTTACACTCCAATAAGAACCGATGCATAACTCTCTTTTTTTCCTGCAAAGAGCCTGTGGGAAGGTTAAACGCCTTCCATCGTCCAATGACATTGTGCAAAGTATAACACTAATAGCCACAATGCAATGCCAAAAAAAGAGCTGCCTTTTAATGGGAAAGAAAAACATTTGGGGGAAATAAACCTTTTTATTATTCAAACCTGATATATGTATTAATTTGACAATTTTTACTTCATAGCAGAAAACCAAAACTCATGGGGCAAAGATGTGTCCATGGCTTTATCAGTAATTTTAAAAAGCAGGCGGGTAGCAAACTGGTAAAACCTGCAGATGGTGCAACAATTATTTCAGGAGAAATACAGAAATCCATGTGACTCAGATGAAGCATGGGTGATTATTCTATTTAATATAAGTACAAATGATATGGAAATGGAGATTGACTGCAGCCATTACCACATCTATTTCTAGAAAAATACCAGTGTAATCTGAACAGCACTGTCCAGGAAATAAGACCCACTGAACAAATGAATAAGATTCTTAGATCCACTTAGGATGCTTCAAATGGACCATTGTTTTGAAGTGTCACCTTATTCTCTTGCCCTAGTTCACCAGGGCTTTTTTGTTCACACATGAGCTTTCTTGTAACAAGTCTTGGCAATTTATTAGCTAGTTTGCTAATAGATGAAATGGAAGGATGAAATGGGAAGGTAAATGACATCCTTAGAAATTAGGGTTGCCAAGTCCTTATATGTAGAGCGGGGGACTCCAGCGCTGCTCCGGGAGTCCATGTGCGCACGCGAACCACATCACCCGGAAGTGACGCAACCAGTACCCCACAAAGGCCAACAATTGTGGCATAGAAGGGTTTTGGTTTTGGTGGTCACAGCACTCCTATTTTCGTAGTTATTATTACAACATCTTATCACACACACAAAGAGACAATTTTCCACTTCAAATTCTACTCTACATATTTTAGTTTAAAAGCCTGTTTTTCCTAATAAAAAATACACACAGGATAGAATTAATAAAGAACAATCCAGTCAAAATAAAGCGCTTTTAAGGCTCATTGATTTCGGTGTGAGACTGAAACTCATGCCTAATTTTCCCAATTAAATAAATGTGAGTTGAATGTGCTTCACTTTGGCTCGCTTGTTTATTGGATTGTAACAAACAGTGATGCAACAAAGCAAGCAGATAAGTAAGGTTACTGTCACTGATCATAAAAGATAAAGATTTTGATATCATTAAGTAAGTCATTAGTAATGTTGTTGCATACAGAATAACATCCAACATATTCAGTTCTGTAGTATTTTGCATCCATTCTTTGTGTAGTAAATCAGTTTTATAGTTTTAACAGCAACCCTAAACTACGGGCCAATTAGGAGATGTAGACTAGATCCATGAATTGAGTTCTTTGATATGCAGTTGCCAGGCTCAATAAAATCAAGTGTAACTTGTTAACGAACTAGCTTATTAATTGCCAGGACTTGTTACAAGAAAGCTCAAGCATTAACAAAAAAAAAAAACACCACCTGGTGAAATAGGGCTAGACAAGATGTACAATACACAGAGAAAGGTAGCACTTCAAAACAATGCTCCATTTGAAGCTGTTATTGATTCCCAAAAAAAATACAAAGGGCTATTTTGTGGTGGTACTCACTGGTACTAAATACCAGCATCTTTTTTCAGGGCTCTCCTAAGCCCTGATCTTCATCAGCTGGCCTGCCCCACTCAGAGAAATAGAGTATGGAGGATCTGCAGAGGGAGAGGGCCACTGGTGAAAATCAGTGCAATCTTATATATGAGTAAAAGGTAAAGGTAAAGGTTCCCTTGCTCGAAAGCCAGTCGAATCCAACTCTAGGGTTGCGGTGCTCATCTCCGTTTCAAAGCCGAAGAGCCAGCGCTGTCCGAAGACGTTTCTGTGGTCATGTGGCCGGCATGACTAAACACCAAGGCGCACGGAACGCTGTTACCTTCCCACCGAAGTGGTACCTATTTATCTACTTGCAATTTCTTGCTTTCGAACTGCTAGGTTGGCAGGAGCTGGAACTAGAGACAGGAGCTCACCCCGTCTTGCGGCACCCGGGTCTTGAACTGCTGAACTACTGACCTTCCACAGCCTGCAGTTCAGCGTCTTAACCACTTGAGCCACCGCAGCTCCTATATATGAGTACTGGCTCTTAAAAAAAACCAAAACACTGAAAACACAGTATGAAAAAAGTTTATGATCAAAATTGACCACTGTATATAAATTTAGGTTCATGCTATATGAGCACAATGACATTCTGATTCTGATCTTAAAATTTAGGAGCAAAAGAGCAGAGCAGACCCCAATACTCATAACCTTTCCTTTTCTCTCTCAGACAAGGTTTCATTTTGGTTTTGTTCATGTGTCTCATCACTGGGGCTTTCCCCAGGAATACAATGGGTTGGCTATAGAATTTAAAATTATTTCTTTGTTCAGCTAGCTTCTCAGTGAATTTGCAGGCTCAAAGTAACATAAATAGCACTACAATCTTAATCTGGGAAGAAATGGGCCACTGTAAGACACAGGAAGGCACTGAATTGTCAGGATTCACTGGGAGCACAGCACTGCTCTTGGCAAAGCAGCAATTCCTTGGCATTAGACCAGCACAGGAGGACAGGATTTAGCAATACATCCTTCGAGGAGCGGCACCTCCCTTTGCAAATCTGAATGCTGGATTGGTTCACTTACTGATGAGATGAGGACCAATTTTAACTTGAAATTAATGCTTTTATTAGATGAAGCCTGCAGCCTTGATGTTTGCTTTTGTGAGCTGGTGTGAAACCACTGAATTTGGTCCATTTCCTAGCTGATCTTATCTTTAGTTCCAGCGTTCACTCCCCCCATCTGCTCCCAACACAGTGGTCATGTTAGAGTCAACAATCTTATTTATTTATTTATTATTGCATTTCTATCCCGCCCGCCCTGCGAACGGGCTCAGGGCGGCTCACAAACAAGGGCCTTGTGGGGAAACTAAAGGAAAAAGTCAAGGCACTGCTGTGAGTACATCTGATTCTGGGACATTTGAAATTGCCAGACCTAATCTAGCCCTCCACAAACTGTGTTAGATTTGAATCAAGCAAATGGAGGGGGAGGAGGGAATGTAGTATTTTTAAAGATTTGCCTTTTTCTTTGATCACCATCTACCGTACTTTATTTCCTAGCTGCCTTAGAAAGTAAACTCTATTCATCTAGAGGAATTTCAGACAGCCTATATATTCCGGTTCAGGAACTGTTCACTAACGGTTTCTGTCTGTCATTTCAGATGGAACCATTTTAGTAACAGTTCCCTGATGGAATATATTTACCCTTTCATACAGAAACGCTTCTGCTTTGTTCAGGAAGTGTGGCTGAAGCATTTTTACTACAAACTGCTTCCAATCAGTCTTTAAATCCTTCCATAGGCGTAATCTTTGTGGGGGCGGCGGGGCTTCAGCCCCCGCTGAAATTTTCAGGAAGGTGCGTTGAATGTGCTTCACTTTGGCTCGCTTGTTTATTGGATTGTAACAAACAGTGATGCAACAAAGCAAGCAGATAAGTAAGGTTACTGTCACTGATCATAAAAGATAAAGATTTTGATATCATTAAGTAAGTCATTAGTAATGTTGTTGCATACAGAATAACATCCAACATATTCAGTTCTGTAGTATTTTGCATCCATTCTTTGTGTAGTAAATCAGTTTTATAGTTTTAACAGCAACCCTAAACTACGGGCCAATTAGGAGATGTAGACTAGATCCATGAATTGAGTTCTTTGATATGCAGTTGCCAGGCTCAATAAAATCAAGTGTAACTTGTTAACGAACTAGCTTATTAATTGCCAGGACTTGTTACAAGAAAGCTCAAGCATTAACAAAAAAAAAAAAACACCACCTGGTGAAATAGGGCTAGACAAGATGTACAATACACAGAGAAAGGTGGCACTTCAAAACAATGCTCCATTTGAAGCTGTTATTGATTCCCAAAAACTGTCCAGTGAGCTCCTTGTTTCCAGGGAACAGCAGTAGCGAACATCAGTGTATCTAAATGGAGTCCAGGAATCTCAATGGGGTCGGTACGATGCTGATTTGTAGTCCTGATTCAGCGCCATAGCACTCCTAATAGAATGTTTTTTAAAAAAACAACAACACCCTGTCAGGGAGATCGTGCATGCGGGGGGGGGGGGGGAAAAGAAAGTGGCACAGTGTGAAATGACAAACTGCTTCAGAGACGGCTCCCTACCGGAAGGGAACGGCTATGTGAAACGGCCATCCCTGTACTGGTTTAGTCCATGACGGTACAATAACGGTTTTAAAAGGGTAATGTGAAATTTCTCGTCGTTTAGAAACACACCAGATTATATACTGCTCTTATCTGCTTTGGGACCTTAGGATATGAAGGGGCATAGATGAAAAGTTACATTAGGAATCCTCCTAACAGCTGATCCTGATAGCACAGCCCAACCACAAAATGAACCTTCTGAGGCCATAAACTTAGTAAATGACATGGTTACATTCAAACACAACAGAGTCATAATTTCAGCTATCAAATTTAACTTGAGCTCAAATACCTTTTGTTCATGATTCGCATATTTGCACTACTATACATATTGCATTTGTCATTACTAATGCTTAGATTTCAATAGGAGCTTAGTCATTACAAAATGAATACTGATAACTTATTCCACCATCTGGAACTGAATTTGCAGGTTGTTTATATTACTTACCAAGGATAATAAGTAAATTGAGAGTATAATTTTGCCAGTTATTTGAAGGGTAAATCTTTCAAATCACATAAACTGTTGAAAAAATGAACATTAGATTTCAAACAAATACCTAATTATTTTAAGCCAGAGGTATAAATTTTGGCAATATAGGGATTTATATTTTAAGTATTGTAGTACAGAAATGATATTTTAAGTACAAGCCTAAAACAGAACATAAGACAGCATTACAGAAACAGGAAATGATCTCCTTTTCAGTAGACCTTTCAATAAACTTGCAGTCTAATTTGCTTCTGTCTCATTTCTGATAGGCTAGTCCTCTTTTTTTTTTAAAAAAAAATTTTTATCTTTATACTCTATATAAAAAGAAGACTCTCAATATTAATTTGAATCCAAGTGTATATGTTTTGAAGCAGTTTATGAGCAAATACACCTGTTTCCTTTTTTAAATTAAAAGATCTATATATGAGGTTAGAAATATGGTTTGAGAAGGAAAAGTACTATGGCTATTCATGCAAATTTGTCATTCACCTAACATGCCCATTTGCGTAACTACCTTCTGAATTCTTTTGGGCTTCAGAGCAGCTTTTAAATGTG